GTTATATTGTCTTTACAGCTAGATAGCTTGGCGAAATATGAAGTTTATGACACTGATATGAGGTGATGGCATAATGACATGAATGAGTTGCACACGTGTACAATGTACGTTACGTAATTGTAGTGCACGGTCGTGCGTATTAATGTACATGTAGTAGTAACATGAATGATATGACCTTGAGTAATGGCAAAGTCCCTGTCATTGAGTCATTGTTGCATGTATTTAGTCAAATTTATAGTAAAGAAGGGATTGTTTGTTTTCCTTTATTATGATAACAGATGGTTATTAGGATTGTCAGGGTATATTTAATTTGATTCATGATATGTTATTTTAAGTCAGTTCATGCAAGATGACATATTATTGTTTATCTTTATTAAATTGCAGATTGAACCCTGCCTGTTTACAACAGTGTAACCAAAATACAGCGGTGCATCGTGTCTCTTTCTATGGGTCTTGGGCATCTGGGTTGGTAGGCTACGCCATACCAAACGCCACAATACCTAAAGAATTATATCAAAATGGAATATCTAGTCTCTATCAAGCAAACAGGAGTGAAAAACCTGAATTTCTGTAGTAGTATATCGACTGATTGTGCTGCAGACACACATAACACAACTTAGTGGAGATCAGACTATAAACACACGCACACAAATCCCCCCCTCGCACACACGCATTTATACGTGCAGACACGTGCATTGTTCCAAGTGTTAGCAGAAACAGTTGAAAAGTTAGTTCCATCTATTATCAGGCACATGCTAATCCTGGTAATGAAATGAATTGTTTTTCCTTTGTATCTCTTTTTCCAACTATGATCTTAGTTGGACCCCTCTTCCTCTCTCTTCTTATTGCATATCATCCAGACTCATATCGCCCCCTTCCTCATTCTCTCCTTGTCTCTCTTCATTTTTCATTCACACTTTCTTGAATAGTTGTAAGTTATTCAAGGGGACCTATAGTATCACAAGCTTCGCTTCTGCTATAGGTATCCCACACTCTCTCTTCAGCTTGAAACAAACGAGAATATTTTTTTTTCTTCTCTCGCTCATCATTTGATGATACATGTTATATTACGTGATAGTTAGGTGTTATAATATGTGACATGTATACTTGTTTTTCCAATTGTATTAATTTGTGCACATATTGTGTTAAATTTGTTTGAGATGTGTGGAAATAAAATAATGAACCTGAAACTTGAACTTGAATTGAATTGGTAACAACTTGAATTCTTAATTCCATTAGTACCCCCTATGCCTGTTAAAATTACATGGTAGAACCATGATAACACAATGATACTAACGTTTTCATATAAAAATAATAAATAATTACAGTGCTTATATAGCGCCTATCACTTAGTCTCTAAGCGCTCTACAATAATGCAGCATAGTTACCCTGGCTTTAGCAGTGCAGCTGTTACGCGCGCTGCGTTTCAAGGAATAAATTCCTACCCGGTACCCATTTACTTCACCTGGGTGGAGTGTGGCAAATGTAGATCAATGTCTTGCCAAAGGACATTAGTGCAGCGGCGGGACTCGAACCGCGGACCTTGTGATCGACAGTTCGGCGACGTATCCACCCGACCACAACACCTCTATATGTAAATGTATTGTTCAGTACAACGGTTGAATGGTGACCACGGTGCATATTTTCCTTTTATAGCCTAGGACCAAGGTTGTATGGTAAACCAATGCCTCCTGTTTTTCTTATAAGTAGAAGTATGTTTCAGTATGTGTTGATGGGACTAACTGTCTTACCGATGATATATAAAGGGTAACTTTTTATGAGTCAAATGAGGAACCCCATCGTTTTGTACTTGAATCTACTGCAATTATAGTGAAATCCACTCCAAAGCAAACATTTAAACTACCTTTCCTGAGAATGATTCTATTATTTTGATAGTGGATTTCCTTTCTAAAACGAAGTTATTCGTAATATAAATACAGGAAGAGTGGATTTGTATTGTTATCTTTGACTTTGCATGTATTGTAAATGAAAGTGGTGAATAAATTCAATTCGATTTAATGTCCACCCCTTTAGATGAGGAAGTACACTTTGCATACAGGACTCGTATTTCCTTCAATTACCTCTAGTTTGAATGGCAGCTATATATATATATATTCATGAAACGAACAATAACATTCTTTCTTGTTTGTAAATGCATTCGTATATGAAACCAATTTAAAATATACACAGCATGGAGTGAAAACAAGACGTTTGATCATTTGTGGCTATTTTTATTTAAATAAAATATATACAGACGTATACATTTATTTATATTGCAGTTATTCCATATCAATAACAAATATTAAACTCAAATTTATTTCAAAACTCAGTGTATTTCATAAAGATAGTGCTATATTGTTGTCACAATATACAATATATTGTCCTTTTCAGGACTCCTCAATCCTCTCTTTCTCTCACATGGGGCACCCGCAAGCCTACTGTAAATATACAATATAGTTATCATAATTATATCAAATACATATATACATATATATTACATATATAGAAACATCGTGATCTTTTAGATACCTTGTTGACCATACATTGCCAGACAAACGAATGTCACTAGCGATATTATTTTCGATACATATAAACTGTTCATCATACTGTGTGTACTGTTCATTAAGCTGTTTATTATACTGTCTGTTTTGAACATGAAGAAGGGTGATGCCTTCCGAAAATGTGTGTACTTGTAAAACTTGAATAAGAAACAATTGAATAATATTAGCAGGAAATTGCAACAATTATAATGTACGTTTAATATCATTGATATAAAATGCAAATAAATGTGCTTTAATATACACAAATCATTTTTATAGTTAACAACCACATATCCAATGTACATCAAATAGTTAACACGTATAGGTGAATTGTTAATATTTATATTTGTTTAACTACTGGCAGTAAGTAACATAATATATAGAAGTAATAAGATAATATCATAAATGATCCGAACTATACTAATATATACATGACTCATGCCAAAATAAAGCAAATACACATTAGACCCGTCCAAAGGGTATCCTCATTGGCAAAGACTAAACGAAAGTAAACAAAGCACTTGAAATATTGCACTAATAGAATAATTAATCTCTCTATGTAAATGAGACATTTCATTACTACCAATGCTACAACCTTTTTTTTCTTTCTTCTTTCTTTTTCTTCTTCTTCTTCTTCTCATCATTAGCATTACAATTAGTATTATTCATTTTCTTCATCTGCTTCTACTGCAGTTTCTACAATTGCTACTTCTAATATTACCAACGTTTCTGTGATGGTACTATAATAATCATGATAAATGGTAATGTCATAAGTCTGGTTTTGAAAGTCATTACACTCGAGTTCTACTTTTCTTTCCATAAACAAACTGTTAAGGTAGGATACGTTCCATCACTTTTACAATAGGAAGAAACAAAACATTGCTTTGCTTGGTATTCTTGTGGATCTCACGTCTCCACTTTTTTGTAATTTGAGCAGTCTTAGATTTTATAAAGCGATTTGTTGTTGAAAATCATATGGCCAGTTCTAATAACACGGGTTTAAACAAATCTAATTATTTCTAAAATCCTTTTTGACCACAGCGCACATTATTTTGAATGTTACATTAAGTTTAATCGTTCGTTTTGTTATGATTCCTTCATTTTGATATGTTATTACTCAGCCGGCATAATGAGAGTTTTTCTCGAACATTACTATTGTTTGTATCACACATATTCATTACCTCAATATACACTTTCCGACAGGCCGGCGCGCCTTTATTATCATTGAAGTATACAGTGCGCACTGTATTTCATATTTCGTTCCACTATCCTACATCCAATTTCTCGAGAGCATTAATCAGATCTGACATTATTGTTTCTATAACATTTAATGCTAGAAGAATTTTGAATTTGAAGGGAAGGAATCACTTATAAAAAACCCTCGTGAAAATTATTGACCATTAATGAATTCAGACGTTAAAAACAATGTATTTTATCTGAATTTCTTTGATTGTGAGTCACGAGTTTACCCCGTTTGTTTGACAGGATGGAGTTAGCTTATGTGGTGTACTTTTACGTTAAAAAGCAGTTCTCTCCTTACGTATACATCCTATGACAGGAAATCACAAGCGGAAACTAAATATGCACTAAAAATGGCATAAGATGTAAGACAAAACTGTTGCATGGACTTGAATATTAAATTTTGATATTCTTTGTTATCTTATTGTTTTCATCATAAGTTATTCTCAGGCCCTGATAACAATGTTATATTCGTGCGAAACACATGGTTTATAAATGGCTGATAAATGTGTAATAGTGAACAAAATCACCAACACGATGCAAGAATTGAGAACTTTTTCAGGAGTCATTTTATATTTTGTGATAAAACATTTATTTTTCTTAGCGTAGCCAAACTTTTTTTTCAATTAAAGACAGTAAAGGAAGGTCAGTCAGCTTTTATCCGGTACCGATTTAATACCCATACACCAGTTTTTTGGGGAAAATAGATAACAATTTTCAGAAATCGCTCACAAATCATTTTTGCCGGCGACACTCCGTCACCACCGTGGACTTTTAACTTTTGAATGTTATAACCCGATTTTACATAATTTATACCCCACACCAATTAAAATTTCCTGACAAATTAGTAGGCCTACATGGTTAATGAGTTCCAAAATCCGACCAGATTTATTGTGAAATAGCTTTCCTGGTTTGAAAAAAGACAAACATTACTTCAGCGCTTCAAAAGAAAGAGTGTAACAGCACCAAACTGTTTATGGGGTTAGTTCATGTCACATGACCCTTGTAAGTTTGAATGTATATTTTGTATATTTTAATCCTCATCGTTAAACAAGCATGATGTAAACCATCGACTGTCGTAAAATGGGTTAGAATTCTTAATCTATATATACTTGCATGATGCAAGTAAATGCAATAGTTTGCGCTCTTTTAGTCATTTAAATGTTTAAGTTAATGTTTATACTAATTTAATCTCATGATTGTCCATCAATTTAACAATGCTTTCATGAATTTGAAAACCTGTAACAATTATTGAACAATTCTAATCGATATTGAGTAGAGAATATCAGCGTAGTTCAATATAAACAACGCACAATTTCTGGTTCGTTTATTTTGTAAATACGAGTGTAATATAATCTGAACTGCATTAATCATGGCATTTAAATTTATCGAACGAAGTGATTACAACGAAAACAGACATAATAAACCTTTTTATCCTGGCCTCGGAGAAAATATAAGCGGAAACTAAAAAGGGAACAAGAGCGTGTTTATTCTAGCGATTTACTCCGGTGAGGGCAAGATAATAGAATGCCTGTTTTCTTTGCTTTTTAACAACAAATGTGTCCGTAACAATCATCTCCTTAAACATTGTGATGTTAATCCACTCAACTAATGTAAAGAATAATGTAAGAGGTCCTTCAACCAGCATAGATGTATGTCAGACATAAGGCAATAGTACATGTCAGCTTGACCAGTAGTGCGTAGTCATCACTGGAACTCAACCAATGTGAGAAATGCTGTATGATTTTTCATCCTGCAATTTATCGTCCTAAGGAAGAAAACAAACGATATCATAATAAGATCAACATACAACATAGGCATCAAACTCATAAACCATAATACCACCATTCTCAAAAGAAAGAAAGCAATGCTGACGGAAAAAATTACATCAACAGATCAGCGAATAACTTTTTTCAAATTCCTAATCTTATTAGGATAACTGGTAATGAACGTAAATCTATGTTTTATCATAAGCTTACAAGGGAAACACGTGTCCACACATCAATACGATGGCTTGGGTCTAGGCACAGATAGTGACATCATTAGAGGACTCACAATGCTCTTACTAGATAGATGAAGTCCATATTATTTATCCATCTCCTCCTTCTTTATATTCTTATTTTCTTTCTCTCTCTCTCTCTCTTTCTCTCTCATTTGTGTGCAGGCCTACCCTCCCACTTTCTCTCTCTATCATTTTCCAAGTTTTCACCTTACAATGGGACGGCAGGCATTAACCCGAAGGCCCTAAATAGGAAAGCCACTGCATTACCTAACGAATAATATTAATTAAAACAAGTTTAGGACTTCACGAAATAGCAGTCGCATTGCGACCGATTAGATCATATTATTAGATGGAATCATTAATCCTGAAGACATTTTAAGCAAATAGGGGGGGGGGAGGGGGGAGAAATGAAATTGTCATGGCAAAGGGGGCTTCTAAAAAGGTTAACATTTAAACGAAAAGAATCCAATTTTTAAAACTTTGATATATACCCGTACATTGTATTAGGTATGATTTTTCTCTTTACGTGGTCCGAGATCCTGCTTCATACTTTGCAGTTGTGTATGTGGTGTTCTGAACAAATATTTGCGAGCGAGTGAATTTGAAGGTTTCTGAAGTCGCATTACGACCGATTACATCTTATTATTATATGAAATCATTACTCCTGATGGAGTTTTAAGCACCATATCAAAATAAAAGAGTGGATACAACCATTCACTATTAATACACTTATTAAAGTTTTGGGGAAAATTCCAATTAAAAATGGCTCTCAGTCGTTTTGAATAGGGGCACTTTTTAGGGAGGCTATGATAAATCTATTGTTTTTGGAAGATGTGGAGTGAAAAGGAGAGCTTGACATAGCACGTATGGTAGTTAATCCATTTTTTATGAATGACATTTAATAATGGGAACGCAGTTGTCTTTAGTTTGAAAAATGCTTCAATGTTTAAACATTGTTATTCTTGGACATAGGGCGATTAATTTTCCTGGCAGTCTATGTAGTTTAATGAAGGCATGGGTCTAAAGTAAGATAGATGGACGACGCCTTATTCGTAGTTTAGTAAAATATGTCATGGTATTTTAAAGGAGCAAACATTTATATGTAAACAGGGCACACTTCATTTATTCAATTGAATTATATAGTGAAGGACATTTGATAGCGTTGAACATGAGCGCGTTATATTTCTAACAAAATTACACAGTTCGATCTTAACATTTGGGACATTCTGCCACCTGCCTTTCCCCTGCTCCACTGCCTTAGGTGGTAGAAATTAGGGTACCTGTTATGGCAAACACCCGAAAAAACACCCGGTGCAAATGAAGCAATACTTACATGATAAACCAACACAGAGAGGTCGCCGCTTGACGTTTGAAGATCCTTGAGATGAAATTCCAGTAGGCCGCCCTCTGTAGTTCTACAGCTTTCTAGCCTATGTTCAGAAAACAGAATGATGGAGGTAATGTGCGTTGGGTGTTAATAATACAATTGGACATAGCTATCTGAAAGATATTGTCTCTCAGTCATTGGAATTAAAATATGGTAGCAGGCAAAAATGTGTCATCGACATAATGTTAGGTGCGACAAAATGTGTTATATAACAAGTCTGATAAAAGTTAAATTGAGCTATTTGAATAATTTTAGGAAAGTTAAAGCAGTAGACGATGTAAACTCATGGTATCTCCAATGCTATCGCTAACCGGCCGGCTAGTGACGGCGCTAACTTCATGGACCCTAGCCGCGGCATAAGTTGGCCCGGTTCGGCTCTTCATTCACAGATGTTTGACAGAAAAGTGTAAAAAGCCTACCGTAACGGTGGATGTTAGATCTAGATCAGGGCTTGTCTAGGCTGCCTTTATAATGTTAAGTGTCGGTTGGTCGAGCCCCCCCCCCCCCCCGCAATTATGTGAGCATCATTCCTCACATACATTCTATCCCAAAAACATTTTGTGTATAATTTTCGTGAGGTGCGATTTGTACACGCAAATTGCATAGGCAAATTGAGCTGCAATTAAGTTGCTCGTCTCGATCTATTTGACTTTCCAACATGACGTCATCGGGTCTAAGAATGTTGTCTTACATGACGTCTATTACCTACGTCAAACTACCTTACGTTTAGAATAAGGCCTAAAAAAAAAATCCATTGCCCTAAGGTGCCAAAACATGGGTCGGTCGATCGGAATTTTGTTTTCCCTTTTTTTTTTTACTCCCTCTTTAGGCTAATATTTCTCATTTTTTGAATGCTTTAATACATTTTTGTTTAAAGCTGACCGTAGATTTCAAGATTTGGGGTCGGTCGCAAAGGGCAATACAACATTTTTTGGTTTAGGCCTAAGGCTAAGGCAACTTTCTTCAAGAGAAAGATGAGTTCTGGTCATGCGATTGCATTGTTAAAGAAAAGATGTAGAATGGATCAGAAAAAAATGGTTATAAAGCATGTAAGTATTGGTTTGTACTGCCAGGCGCGGATCCAGGATTTCTTAGGGGTGGGGGCCCAATTTTTTTTCTTTTTGCTCCCGAAAATTTGAAAATTGCGCCAGCCGAAAATGCGCTCAGTGGGGGGAGGGGGGCGTAGTGATGAGCACTAATTTGTTTTACTTTTTTTTTTCTCCCGATAATTTTAAACATTGCGCCGGCCGAAAAAAAAAATGGGGGGGGGGGGGTGCAAATTTTCAAATTATCGATGACCAAAACAAATATTTAAAAAATGTGCTCACTACCCCCCCCCCCCCCCCCACCTTGAGCGCCAGGGGGGGGGGGCATCTCCCCAAAAAGGTAAAATTAACGCCACTGTGTACTGCAAGGTTCTGGAGTCATCAAAACATAAAGTAACAAGCACTGTACACAGACAGATTAATATTAGACTACACAAATGGTGTCGGGCCTACCTTGATTTTCCTAATCTTGCTATGCTCATTACTTAGCCAGTATACATTTTTCTATCAAAATTGTTAGGTTAATGATAATTATTTGTAATCTCGAACATTCAGCGTAGGTTGCGTTTGATTCTGCGAGAATTCATTTTATTTTTTTACCAGAACTGAAGTTTCTCTTTAACCTATAATTTTGTAAAGACATTTTCTAACACTTAAGAAAAATGTCTTAGATGTGTATTGAATACGGGTCCTAGAGGCTACACCAACGTCTAAACTTGTTCATCTCTGAATGCTTTCGTATTATTATGCTTTACCACTGTAGACTAAGTAAACATATTCATCTAATAGGATTTTAGTATGTAAAAAAGGGTTCTACAAAACCTACAACACAAAAGACATCGACTTCACAAGCCTGCAAGACTCGATGAGGTTAACCAAGTCTTCCTCGCCTGTGCCCTTTACTCCCAACAGATCTAACCGCTGCAGGTTCTTGGTTTGTTCTCTAATCAGAAGACCCAGTTTTTTCAAAGTCTCACTTCGTACTCTCTTCTTCTCTAAGGGGAGTGATGACGGTGCTGTAAGTTTGATGTACGCGAGCCGCTGTCCTCCGGTATAACTTCGACGAAGACCAGCCATGATCTGAGGTATGTCTCTCTCCGCATCATCGATAGTGATATCGATCACTCTCAAGCGAGGGAGCGATGAGATCACACCTTTATAACTTTGAGACGTCACTTTCTCGGCCGATAACTTTAGGACGGATGGAAGCTCAGGAGGATATGGAGGGAAACTGAGATAGGAGTCCGAGATGTTGAGATGGTTCAGTGAGTTGAAGGATCTGAGACAGGACCACAATTTTACGGTCATCTTGGTAGATAGCTGGCAGTCCTTGATTCTCCAGATTCCAGTCTATGGTGACATACAGACAGAAAAAAAAGTCGTCATTGTTACAACATACAAAATAAAAAATGTTAAACATGGAGTAAAAACTACAAGTAAAAATACATTTCTTAAAAGAATGGTATCGATTGTTTGGAGAGAAAAGGAGAATCAAGAAAAATCAATACAAACTTCCTCTGAAATATTTAAACTCACCTGATGTATCGATCGCCACTCGCTAAAATAATTTTCCTATCTTAATCAAGTTCTTAAGTACAATTTCCTATCAAAATCGATAAACTGATATCATTTATTTTTGAAACAAATGATATGTATGGGCATGAACAAGAAGAGCATACTTACATGCAATGCATCTTCATCGGAGTTTAGTAACCAAGAAAACCTATATCATTTAAAAAAGAGACGAAGAAGCATGGATAACATGTCTCCACTTTAATCATTTGTGAATAAAAAATTACGAACAACATGTTTAAAGATAAAGACAAATCTAGTCTTATTCAGCATATTATATATGGCTCGTCGTACGTGTGACCTAAAATTACCTTACTTGCTATAGCAAGTATTGTATGCTACCAATATTATTCAGTAAATAGTTTGAAATATTTCGATCTGACAAAATATAATTTGGAAGCCACTAATTATATCCATTCACAGAGAGCGGTCCCAAGGATAGTTTTTATTAAAATAATAATTACACTTGAAATATGATCTACACAACTTATATTATTTTTCATAAATCAACCAATCTGTATCTAAGGATAAATCCATTAATGATCAGCTTATTGTATTAGGAGCAATTTTATATATTGCCTGTTTAGAAAATGTTTACATGATATATATATTTAAAATTGTATGACCTTTGTCTAAATACAAAATTCCATGAAGATTTGTTGGCAAATTAAATCAACTTGAGGTTAATACTTTGGTAATTAACGTGATTAAAGGAGTGGACATCAGCCTTTCGAATCGACTGGAATGCACGGTGATGCCCATATCAATAACAATTGAAGAGAAAACGGGAAGGAATAGAAAACTTAATAAATTATACTTGGCTTGACAGTTACTCACTTTTCTTCAAACAGGCTAGCTGACATTAAACGCGTTGAAGACTGGAAACGATCTACCACTGTTTCCTTAGGTCCGAAAACTACTCCGGACAATATCGCCTTACAGTCTGTGATGAGAAGACCCAGTCCTCTGATCAATGTTGATGAAATCCCCTCTGATGTGAAGGGATGGGGGTTGATGCGTATGAGATTATGTGCCCTCAGATGTCGACGTAGAGTAGTCTGGATCAGAGATATGTCTTCTGTATTTGCATCTCCGATAGTGATATCGACCTCTTCCAAGCCAGGAAGCGATGCGAGCAGACCATCATAGCTTTGTGATGTCACTCTCTTAACTACGAGCTTTGTAACGGATGCAAGCTCAGGAGGAGATGAAGGGAATCTGAGAGAAGAGTCTGAGATGGTGAGCTTGTTATGTCGGTTGTAGGATCTGAGACTGGACCACAACTTTTCCGTCATTTCGGTAGATAGCTGGCATTGCTCTATCTCAAGCCTAGTATTCTGCATTGAAAGACAAACAGGCGAACTTGCCACTTGTAAATAGGCCTACACCGATTCTACAGTGCGCCCCAGACAAAAACGAAACCTAGAATTATCGATGTTATATCATAACTTAAGCACATTTATAATTAATAAATGACACAGATTTGGAAAGCTTAGACCCTCTTCTTCCATTTGATGCAACTAATACACTGTATATATTACGCATGAGTGATTAAAATGAATTTGAAGAGAGTAAACAAAAAAGTCAAGAAAAAAATCAGAGAGAAAAAATACATTTCTAGAAAGTTGAGTTTCTGCCCTTTCATATGACACCTCCATCAGGAAAAATGAGCAAGGAATGACAAAGTTCTGCTTGTTTAAAATAGTGCTTGCAATTCATAATTTCATCAAACGAATTCGTTTTCACTGGCTGCCTGCCGTAGCAACAAGCAGAATTGACAAAAGACTTAACTCCGTTTCGCTTACAATCAGCCATCCATGAAGTTTTTCGTCACTCATGCGTGAAATATGCATTATATGAGTTGCATCAAAATAATGAAAGAGGAAGATCTAAGCTTGACAAATATGTGTCATTTATTAATTATAATTGTGATTAAGTTATGATAAAACATCGATAATTTTCGGTTTCGTTTTTTTATGGGACGCACTGTATACATCGATTTTAATAGAGAGACTTAAGTCAAAACGTGTGAAGATGAATAGAATTTCACGTAAAGTGAAGCTGAAAATACAATGCTTAAATGCAACAATTAAATTCTTATTCCGAGAATTGATTAAACTCTTTCGTAAAAAATAAAAACAGTGCAACAGTGCTGAAATTTCCTGTAATAGTTCAATTAAAAAGATATCCATTTGTTGAATATTTCAGAGCAAAACACATGAACCCGTATAACAGACGTATACTTACCTGGACGGCGTTCTTTCTTTTGTGAGAACCACCTCCGCTCCTACAAAGATTATTTATAAAGGAATGCGGGAAAGAATGTGACTCAAGTAAATCTTGGGAAACGATATTATACTAATAAATTATACATCCCCTTTTTAGACTTTACACATGTAGTCTAAGTGAAAAAAAACAATTACAACATTAACAATTATGATAATCATCACAATAATGGGAATAATAATAACAAATATAATCATGATTACGATATCAATAATGAAATAAATATCTATATAAGAACATGTTAATACATTATTTTATATTCATGTCGTCTTAAAAAGCGACATGTCCACATACATATGTACGTCATGAATTAAAATCTAGATCTAGATTGACTTACCTCGAATTCAAGTACGTTAGTTTTTCAGACTTGACAAACAGGTCAACCAAGGCTTCTTCGTCTCTGCCCGTCACTCCGGACACATGCAGCCGCTGTTGGTTTTTGGTTTCGTCTTCAAATAGAAGACTAAGCCCTCCAATTGTCTCTCCCGATGCGATCTTCCTGTCTGTGGTGAGTGCTGGCCAAGCGTGTAGTCTGATATGAACAACGAACTGTTCATCACTACCCCTGGTATGACTTATAGATCTGGATGCGGCAGTGATCTGAAAAGGGTCGCTCGTCACTGTAACATCGATAGAGACATCGATATCTCTCACTCCAGGTAATGATGAGAGCACACTTTCATAGTTGTGAGATGTCATTCTCTCGGCTGATAGCTTTGTGACGGATGGAAGCTCAGGAGGAGATGGAGGGAAACTGAGAGAGGAGTCTGAGATGGTGAGATGGTTCAGTTGGGTGTAGGATCGGAGGCTGGACCACAACTTCTCGGTCATCTCAGTAGATAGCTGGCACTGCTGTATCTCAAGCCTAGTATTCTGCAATAAAACGTACACATAGTAGTTGTGCCCAAATGAGAGGAGATATAATTCTATCTCAGTGAAGTTGGACAAACAATGATTATATGCATCACCTAAATTCACAATCCGAAAATTGATTGGATTCTTTCATAAAAAAAAAAAAAATTGGTAATTTGTTGCAATTTCCTTAGTCTTGGTCAGAGGATATCCCTTTCTCAAATATTTCAAAACGAAATGCATGCACTCGTATTCCAAAATTCTACTCACCTGGACGGCGTCTGTGTTGCCTAAACAACCACCTCCACTCCTACATATGTTATTTTTAAAAATAGGGAAAAGAATATGATTCAATCAAAAATTAGGAAATTATTTTACATTTATACAATTTATATAAGAGAACTGTACATCCTGTCTTTACGGAGGTAGTACAGATCGTTATGAAAACAACAATACTTACAATAACAATAATGATAATAATCATCTTAAAAAGTGATAATTATAGGAAATATATAAGAACATCAATAGTAATACATTTTAATATAGTTTGTGTTCATGTCATCTTAAAAAAGCGACATTAACACAAATATCTGTACACGAATTAAGACCTAGATCTAGATCTACGTACCCCGAATTCAAGTACGTTTTTTGTTTAGTCTTGACAAACAGGTCAACCAAGTCTTCCTCGTCTCTGCCATTCACCCCGGACACATGCAGCCGCTCCTGGTTCTTGGTTTGGTCTCCAATTACAAGACTAATCCCTCCAATCATATCTCCTGTTTCAATCTTCCTGTCTTGTGTGTGTCCTGGCCAGGCTTGTAGTTTGATATGAACACCGAGCTGTTCATCTCTGGTCTGAACCATAGGCCTGGAGGTGGCGGGGATCTGAAAAGTGTTGCTGGTCTCTGCAGCATCGATAGAGACATCAATCTCTCTCACACCAGGTACAGATAATAGGACTCCTGTGTAGCATTGTGACGTCACTCTCTTAGCTGATAGCTTTGTGATGGATGGAAGCTTGAGAGGAGATGGAGGGAAACTGAGAGAGGAGTCTGAGATGGTGAGCTGGTTCAGTGAGGTGAAGGATTTGAAGCAGGACCACAACTTCTCGGTCATCTCAGTAGATAGCTTGCACTGCTGTATCTCAAGCCTAGTATTCTGCAATGAACGCACACATAGATGTTGAGACTAAATGTGACGAGATATAACTCCACACCAGTGAAGTTGAAAAACAATGATTAAATGCACCACCTAAATTCACAATCAGATTACTAATTGGATTCTTTCATAAAAAAAAATTGATACTTTGTTGCGCTTTTCTTGGTTTAGGGCAGAGGATACCCCTTCCTCTAATATTTCAAAGCGAAATGCAGGCACTCGTAATCCAAAATTCTACTCACCTGAACGGCGTCTGTGTTGCTTAGAGAACTACCTCTACTCCTAAATATAATATTTAAAAAAACAGAATATGGTTCCATCAAACATTGGGAAATTAGTATACATTAATACAGAATAAATATGTGAACTGTACATCGCCTCTTCAAAGAGTTAAAGATTGTAACGAAAACAACAATACTAAAAATAACAATGATGATAATAATCATCTTTAAAAAGTGATAATTTGGGGAA